CCGTTTGACTTGTGTTTTAAAAAAAAAAAAAAAAAAACAAAAACCACACAACAGAACAAACCAACTAATTTGCCTGACTACTCAGTAACTGGTGGAAGAAGAATCACTGCTTTGCAGCACCTTAATCAGGAAAAAAAATCAGTCCCAGAGGTGCTTGTTTTCCACACTCACAAGCAGCAAAGCTGCATTTTCTCTCTCCAGCTGGCAGGAACCCTCAGCTGTGACCCACTGTCAACAGTCACATGCTCTGCACAGCCCTCCAAACAACTGGGCAATTTATTAACATAACTCGGATAAGGGTGTTTACACATGGGCCCGGAAAGGCCGAGATTGCAGATTTTAAACACTCTAGGAAGCTGTGTCTTCCCCGTTTTTCCAACCAAGGCCGGAAAAGCATCACAGCGCCTGTGCTGCCCCTGAGACTGTTTGCTTACAAGGAGGCACAAAACAGCCCTCTCGCACCGCAGGAGGCCATCAGCGGGCAAAAGGAGAACCTGCAGTTTTAACTGAGCTTCCTACTGATGCTCTGCTTGCCGCTGGGGTGTCCCCTCTCCTGGCACCCCCAGCTGGGGTTCATCCTCTGAGCCATTAAGTCAATGCCACCCTTACAGCTGCATGGGAATGGGCCATTTCCAGGACCTTGCAGCCCTTCAGGATTGGGGTTTTGTCTGAACACCCAATCTCAGGGGACTAGCCCACTCGCACAGGAAGCACCGCAGTCCTTGGGGACAGAGGTGGGAAAGCAGCTCTTGCTGTGCTCTAGCAGGAGGCTTCTAAGCCTCCTGGATACTGCTTTTGCCACTTGGCTACAAGAGATGTGAAGTTAATGGCTTGGGGCAGAAGGAAGACAGTACATGCTGGTCCTCAGTCTCCTCCTCAGTCTCCTCCCAACCAGAGCCACCATGCAGCCATCAGAAGGCTGGTCATCACGTGGAGACTAGTTCCTCACTCGAAGAGTGGGCAGACTTCTTGGGACACCCCTGAAGGGGGCTGTCCCCACCCTTTGCTAGAGCTTCTCCTCTACCTGGCATGGCACCCATGGGGCTATGCTACATCCTCCACCCAGCAAGGAGAAGCAGTCAGCCACCCACTGCTCCTCACCCGGATCTGACAGCACCCATCTTCTTCCTGGTCTGAAGCTCTCAGCCTGAAGCTCCCCCAGCCAGTCTCCCCTGTCCTGAAGGAGGATCTCCTCCAAAGGGCCATCAGTGGGTGCCTGGCTGCCCAGCAAGTCCCCCCTGCCCAGGACAGGTACCCAACTCCCACCTGAGACCTGGCTGAGCCATTAGCATCACTAAATGCACAGTTACTTTGCAGTGGCAGCTGGAAAAGTGGCAAGTAAAGCCTCTCTTCCAGACCTCAGAGGTGCCCCATCCTGCACAGGATCACACCCTACAGAGCTCCCAGCAAGGATGGGACCTGCCCTCCCGGCTTCCACTGCCCGTCCCCATCCTGAGTGGCCACAGGGCCCTGGCCAGCAGCCACCCTGTGCGCAGTGCACGCCTAGAGTGCAGCCCATGGGGCAACAGCCTGCACCAGGCTGCTTCATGCACCAGACATCCTGCAGAAGTGGGGTCCAAAGTAACTGCAAAGCCATGAGTTTTGGGTGCTCTGCGAGGAGTACTTGCTGCCAGGATCTGCTCCCCACACTCATCCCCATCCCCTGCGGCGCGGTGGGAAGCACCCAGCAGGGCCGGGACCGCAGGGCTCAGCCGATCACAGGGTTCAGAGCCCCCGGTTCCGACGGGAAGGGAGCGCCAGGGGGTGTCACGGTGCCGGGGCGGGCACCCACCCCGCTGGGACCGGCGGAGCCTGCCCGGGG